ACATACGAAGCAAAATTTGGTGATCCAACCAAATCGGTTGTCCATTTTGAAGCACCGAACGCGGATATGGCCACCACCGGAGCATTGTAGTAATTTCCAAAACCAAGTAGAGCTTCATCAACACAAACTTCAACAACAACAACATCGAAATGTTGTTTTATTTTCATAAATTCCTGCAGATTTTTGCTTTCTAAAGCCCAATTCGTCATATCCATTCCAACATCAAAATATTTAAAGATCATATTCCAAACGTGCATGTTCGAAAAATCCACGAAATTATCTTTTGCCGAGACTATGAAAAGTGAAAATGACACAAAATAAATTTTGGATTTATTTGATGTGCGATTATCAACATGGAATTTTCAAATGGATTACTTTTGCGAAAATTATCCCAAGAATGTTCGAGAAACACTTCTTTGTAGTTTTTAATTGGGTTTTTATCTAGGATAGGAGTTATTACAGTCACATCGTGACCTTCTTTGGCCAATCCTTTCAAAAGATTGTGTCCGATATAATAGTGTGACTTGGATGGTACGGGAAGAACTCCCAAAATTCGGTAACTGATCACATTTTGATACAGAAAACACAATATTAAAGACACTTGTAATAGTTTCATTTCTAACCTGCGATTCTATCTAATTGAATTCGCACTTTAAGATTTACTGCTTCGCTTAAGGTGTGTGTTAATATTTATAGTCAATCATCGTGGTTGAAAAAGGTATCACTCAAAATATTTGCGATTACATACAAAGAGATAAGTTTTGGTAATATCATGAACAATGAAAAAGTAAAAAATATGTATTTTTCAGACGCAATCGACCCAATTTTTCACACCCAATTTTATCAAAAATTATCGTCCTCATTTGTATTATCGCTCTTCACACTACTTTGGAAATTTCCATTATTCAATTGACAAAAAAACACACAAATTGAGTGTATTGAGTGTAATATGAAACAAAAGTTATCAATCCAACAATAATGAAATCTATAAATTTCTAATTCATACAAACTACAACAACAAATCTATGTAAAAAACGTATTGTTTCGCTTTGATATGTGACCATTTCATATGCTGATTTTATTTTATAGCTATCAATTAATATAATACATGTATATACAAAATTATTATCAATAAAATTTGTTGATGAATTTTATTGAAGAAATATTCACTTAATTTATTTTTTGCTTTGACTTTGAGTCAAACATGACTGATATTATAAGACTGAAACATTTTAC